CATTCTTCCTGAAAGACGATGGTTACACAAAGACTTCCAGTCATGAAGACGTCAGTGAGAAAACCTGGCTTCTTATGGTCTCAGTCACTATTTTGACACAGTTACCTGTGAAACAAAACCATGTACTGATTAGCTGGTTGTCAGCCAGCGTACAGCTTCACAGTCACAAACCCTCCTCGTCCATATCTTTGCATCCTTCCACCAAAACACACAATGTTTGCATCCATCTATTCTCCATCTGCTCACCCTGCACAGGTGCTCAGTGCTAACACAGAGAGATGCTCACATTCACAGCTATGACAGACTCAGAGTTGACAGCCTCACTGCATGTTTTGGCCTCTGGGTGGAGCTGGAGTACCCGGATTTGAACCCAGGACCTTCCTGCTGTGAGGCGTCAGTGCTGACCAACACCAAATTCAACGTGAGACTTTTTACACTGTTTTTACTATTAAAAGGCCCACAGTCAATAAGCACTCAAACTGAAATATTCAGTACAGTAATAAATAAACAGGAAACAGAAGCACAAATCAAATACACAACGATACTAAAACAACAACGAGACACAAAACTATCACAAACTGGTCCTGTGAGGACCAACAACAGGAAAACTGTAATACTGAAGAGTGTGAGCGATGACTGTGAGGCGCATGTGTCCCAGCAGAGGGCAGCACACACCAGGACTGCCTCTCTTTGGCTCCACTGTCATAAACACACAACAGCATAACCTCATTATTAATAACATCTGCAGCTCTTCACTGCACTGAGCTTATCATTACGAGCTCGTGGACATCATAACCATCATGGACAGGACTGCCTCACACTCTTGCTCGAACCACATTCATGTGCTGTTGTCAGATTCATCTGAGCCCTGTACAAACTCTGTACTGTGTGATTTGCACACACTTCTAATGTTGTTGTGTTTGTGTATGACGTTGAAGTCTAGACACCACAGGTCAACTGACAAACAGGAAGCAGCAGCATGTACATCACACCAACCCAGCAGACACAGCTTCATCTGTACAGCTTCA